TAAGCGGGATCCAATTCGAAGATTAAGGAACAACGCAATCATTAACATTAACTGAAATAGATAATTAGATAATTTTAGCTTACACCGTCCGTTATACATTAAACGCGCAGGCGAAAACGTATTCTGTTGCGCAACGCATATGAGTAGTCAAGGTCTTACGCGCATAAAACGCCTGTGCCAAATGCGCAGAAAGTTTTAGCTTTGAGGTCCGGAATATGGGTGTCCGGATTAACGACTTTTGACTGTAGTAAGTCTTCATCAGGACTATCTCTTAACGACATATTGATGACAGGTACCAGAATACAATAAGAGCTGTTTCCAGTTTTGGTCAAATTCAGATGTTACCCAGTAGTTGTCACAGCTGATATCATGAAAACGTTTAGATAAATTCTAGTTAACGAAGAGGATAGAAACTTTCAAAAGATATTTTGGCGGGACAGTCCAAGTGATCCTAATCAAGAATTTCGACTTAATACTGTCACATACGGCACTGTCTCGGCTCCATATTTGGCTACTCGTGCTTTATACCAACTTGCCTACGATGAGCAGAATAACTATCCTTTAGCTTCGAAGGCTGTACTTCAAAACTTTTTTTGTAGATGATTGTTTGGTAGGTGCTCAAAACACTGAAGAGTGCAAAAATCTAGTAAATCAACTCTTGCAAATGTTAGAACGTGGAGGATTTCTTCTGCGTAAATGGTCATCCAATGACTTGTCAGTGTTAGAGAATATACCCCAGGAGTTGAGAAATGATTCTGAGGCTATGAAAATTCAAGACGATAGCTCAATCAAAGTTTTAGGAATTAATTGGAACCCCCGTGAAGACTACTTTAACTTTTCCGTATCCATTTCTGGTGAAAAGTTTAAATACTCTAAAAGAGATACCCTTTCTGATTTAGCGAAAATATTTGACCTATTGGGTTGGCTTGCTCCTTGTATTATTTATGTCAAAATCTTAATACAAGACATGTGGAAACTCCATTTATTGTGGGATGAACCTATTTCTAAGATGAGTTTTTTAGTGATAAGATTGCTAACAAATGGAAGATTTTCTGAAATGATTTACATCTTATTCAACAATTAAACGTACCGAGATTTGTTTTGATTCCTGACGTGATTTATATTGATATCTGTGCTTTTTGTGATGCCTCCGAGAAAGGCTACTGTGCAGCAATTTATTTGCGTTCAGTGTCACGTAATTTGGACATCAAAGTAACACTCTTAACATCAAAAACAAGAGTTGCCCCTCTGAAAGTGCAATCATTACCTCGATTAGAGTTATGCGCCGCAGTTTTGTTAGTGAATTTGCTTAAATCAGTGTTAGAACATTTAGAGTTTCCTATACGTAAAGTTTTGGCCTGGACAGATTCAACTGTTGTACTGTCCTGGATTTCTGCAGAACCATACCGTTGGGTTCCCTTTTTTGCAAACCGCGTTGCTAAAATACAGAATACAATTCCTAATGTAAGGTGGAACCATATCAATGGAAAGCGGAACCCAGCTGATTCAGGTACAAGAGGAATGTTTCCAGCAGAATTTCTGTGATGTGAGCGATGGTTCATTGGACCTTCTTGGTTATATTCACAAGATTTAGAACCATGTCCTGACAGTGAACATCTTGCTGATGTAGATTATGAAGGAGTTCGTAGAGAAGAAGAAAGAAAAACTTGCATTTCAGTATCTTGTGCGGTAAAGGAAAATGACATTTTTAAACGGTATTCATCTTGGACAAAATTACGTCGTATAGTTGCATTATGCCTAAGATTTATTTACAACTGTCGAAACTTCTCCGAAAATCGTTTGAGAGGTTTTCTGACAACCGATGAGCTTCGATTAGCTACAAAAACAGTGATAAAAAAATGTCCAAGAATCATATTTTCCTCAAGAGCTCTCTTATTTAAAAACATCGAGAGAATTAAAAGGTGTGAGCAGCCGAGTAATACAATTAACTCCCTTCCTTGATGAAGAAGGCGTCATTCGAGTAGGTGGTCGCTTAAAAAATGCAAACATTCCTGAAAATAGCAAACATCCTATTTTGCTTCCAAAGGAAGGAGATTTCACTAATCTCATCGTAACTCATTACCATGTCAATTATTTGCATGCTAGTCAAGAGTTATTAATAAGCACTTTACGAATGCAGTAAAGTGCTTATTAATAACTCTTTGGATTCTTGCGATGAGAAAGATTATTCACAGATGTATTCCTTGTATTAGAAATCGAGGCAAGACTGTGACCCAGATAATGGGTGATTTACCCTCACCCAGAGTTCAACCATCAAGACCTTTTGCAGTCACCGGTGTTGATTATGCTGGTCCATATTCTATTAAGTCCCAAGTTGGGAGAAGAACAAAAACTTTCAAGTGTAACGTATTCATTTTTGTGTGTTTCTCAACAAAAGCTGTACACTTGGAGTTACTCAGTGATCTATCAACTTCAACGTTTTTAGCAGCTCTAAAAAGATTTATTGCCCGACGAGGCAAACCATCTAAAATTTCGAGTGACTGTGCTACTAACTTCAAAGGTGCTAGTAAGGAACTGAAGGAGATTAATAAAAATGCAGCTCGCATTGAGAAAAGCAGTGAATTATGTGACTACATTATCAGAAGATATAACTTGGTTATTTAATCCTCCAACATCTCTTCACTGTGGTGGCTTGTGGGAATCTAATGTGAAATCCATGAAATTTCATCTTAAACGAGTATTAAGATCCACACTTCTAACTTACGAGGAATTTTTAACAGTGCTTACACAAGTGGAAGCGTGTATGAATTCCCATCCTCTTTGTGTGATGTCTAGTGATCCAAACGACTTTAGTGCATTGACTCCAAGCCATTTTCTGATTGGAGCCCCTTTGCTTGCCATTCCGGAATCTGACTCGAGTGATATGAAATCTTCACGACTTAAACATTGGTCTCTAGTTCAACAGACTGTGCAACATTTTTGGAAACGATGGTGTGCAGAATATTTAACAACACTTCAACAACGTGCTAAGTGGTTTTGTGCGTCTCCAAACCTAAAATGTGGTGATTTAGTTCTGGTCAAAAATAAACAACTGCCTCCAAACCAATGGAAAATTGGAAGAATTGCCTTAATTCATCCAGGTAGTGATAAAAACGTTTGAGTGGCTACAATCCATACAGCCGCTGGTGATTTCAAACGAGCTGTTACTAAATTGTGTCTTATCCCCAATCATGACTAATATCAACTATGAACTATTGACTTTTTTCATATTATTGAACTATTGACTTTTTTCATATTATTGAACTTTAATTTTAGTTATATTTTCAATTAATTTTTTTGTTAATGCTATTATGTATGCTTTAACTATTTGTCTTTTTTGAACCCTTAGAAGGCTTCAAGACCAGGGGCTATGTTTAGTATTTTTTGTTACCAAATGAAGTACTAGTGTGTCTTTGCAACAAAGATGGCACTGCTGCTTGATGATTCAATTCTGGTTGCTATGGTAATGAACTTTCAACTCATAACTTATGTGACTTGTATTCTATTCTTTTTTGTTTTAATTGCTACAGTGCTAAGAGTGAAGTGTGCTGTGTCGTCACGTAGACGGCATTCCTTCTATTTGAAAGTGTTATGTAAAATAAATAAGTGATATTACAGTCCGCTTTACCTTTGTTTTTGTGAACTTATTCTTAACAGTAACTATTACTATTATTTCTTTAAAAGAAACATACAATTCCGATAAGAATATGTAGCAATATAAAGATTAGAATATCTAATTAAATACCTTCATTTTTACTTCCTGATAACTGGAAAGTCACTCATTCTTATTCTTGTCTGTGCTACTTCTTAGGCCTCAAATTATCCAAAAATAATTAAGAGTAGAGTAGTTGACTTGGTCAAATCATAGATTGAATGTTATGACTGTTTCGCTGTTATTTGTCAGTTTTGTATTCGGCTGTCATAAATTTAGAATCACAGTTAGAAGGGAAAGGTTTGACATGAGCTTCACAAGTAGTTTGTGAGGGTTTGTTTTTGTAAGCAAGATAAACGAATATAATATCTATGTGAATTGTTCTATATGAATGAATCCTTTTCAAAATTTTGGGAAGCTTGTTCTTGGATGTACTGAGTAAGGGGAAATTTAAGGAAATATTTAAAAAATTTTCAGAACTTGCTGCTTAAAAACCTCGGGGGGAATATGATATCTAACAAATTTTCAGTTGTCATAAAAACAATTTCATCGCAGAATGTATCATCCAGAGCACTGTATGACTCTGTAATTTTAAATTGAATTTTTTAAATTACATTACAGAGTCTACAATAAAAGTAAATTTCAAGGCTTGCTAAAGACACAGATTATACAATAAACATATTGTGAACTATAGTTTGTGAACTCTGCTGTAGCTTTTTGAATATATATCACAGCATGGAAGATATTATTCATTAGCCAAAGAAAGCAGTAATTTATATTTTGCATGCAGTTAATCCTAGTTAAGAAAATACTGAGCAGTTTTTCAGAATTGTTTCTTATAACTGCTTGATTTTTAATAATTTAATGAGAACAAATTTATAAATGCTAAAATTTTAATAGTTTTACTCACAGTTATCTTTAATATTAAATTTTTAAGCCATCATTATACTCCTGATTATATGTGACTAAAAATAAAATATTATCTGCTACAATTTATCAAATCAAAATATAAGATTTTTAAATCAAAATATAAGACAAAATTTTAATGTAATCATTGTGAAGATATTTCTCCATTCAGTTTCCAATTTACTATAGTTAATACTTGTATGGAATTCAAAATTAACATAAAATCATGATTATCTGAAGGCAATTAAAAAAATAGCCCTCCCCCAATAATAATTACTAGAAAAATACTATTAGCAATTTACCTGTGTTTTCAAGCAGTTTAATCTGGGCAACAAGTTCATTTCGTTATAAAATTAAATCAGCATTTAAAACAAAGAGAACATTGTAACAAAAGAATAAGCGCCATTAGTATAGAAGAAACTAAGTTATAAATGGCATAAAAGAACAATATTTAAATAATCTTTATTAAAAAACCACAATTAATGGCTGAACACTTAATTCATTTTTACAGTTGAGCAATACATTTTTAACAAATTATTTATGAATATTTATATATTCAAGATTACCTACAATTAAATTACATAAATTAAATATGAATTAAAACAGCTGACCAAATTCCTATGATATCATCTACTTCTCTTGTATTTGTCTTTTCTTTTTGCATTTGTCATAAAAGCTTTGCTTTTTGCTATGACATTAATATTCCCATCGCTCTTCAATAAACAAACACCCATTTTTTTTAAATCTCAGGGTCAGGCTAATTCACTTCTCAGAAATCAAGAGTCAAATATATTACTTCTATTGTTACTTAAAAATTTGTTAATATCTTAATACAATTTTTATGTAATCATCCTGTCGTTTCAAATTACAAAGTCATAAATGTGTATTTTCTTTTACTATTCACAATAATTACAAATTAAAGTTATTTAAATAATTAACATCACGCAAAAGATCTACAGAGAGCAGCTGTATGATCAACACCACAGCTTATTTTGAGAACTTCTGCTGGAACTGCAACCTATGAAGTATCAAACAAACATAGAATATAAATAAAGTATCATAAAATAATTTGTTAATTTATTATTGATTTACACATAAAGAATTATTTTACATTTTACACCTACATGAACAAAATTTTATCAATTCTATTTAAATTTAATTTTTGCTGTTGCATATACTGCATATGAAGTTCTTCCTCATGAAACAGTGAGAGGTTTTCTTATTTTCATAACAGCAACAACAACAGAAAAAAATTGCACAGACTTATTTGAGAATAAATTGTGACAGCTTTAAAAAAAATAATGAGATTTGAAACAATACAAAGATTAGTCCAAAGGGGCTTTGTCCCTGAAGGACTATTGTTTTCGTTTTGCAATTTTGTGTTGGTTCACTTTCCGTTTTGTGTTGGTCCATTTCACTTTTCAAACTGTTGCCATCAAATGTATTATATTTGTATTATTATATTATATAAATGTATTGTAGTCCTGCATTATATTTGAAGAAGTTAAATAATGAAAAATCTGCATAAATGTATAAAACAGAGGAACACAGTCATCGAATTTTGAATGATGTAATCCTCCTACGAATACGGGCATGTGGAAGCCCAAATTTGAAATTTCTTTTATTATTGATTTCATATTTTGTAAAACTTTGATGAATGTTTGATTAACAAACTCAAGGATTTCAAAGCAAGCAATGGCAACATTGTACAGAAAAAACATTTTTATCACCAGTGCGTAAGACTGCATATAAGAAATTCTAAAGATATGCTCAATTTAAAACTATTCTATGATATTGCTCTTGAACTGAATTTTATGGTTTAAGTGGTAAAATGTTAAAAAAAACACCCCTTTGGATGTATTTTAAAATCTGAAACCTTTCATATTTTTATTATTATTTCTTTTAAATATACATTGCTACAAAAATCTACATTTTTAAAGATCAGTTACAAGAATTTTGTGTTTTTTAAAACTACAAAAGAGGCATTACATTAAATTTCTCTATATTATTATTGCTTATAAAGAAAGGGGGAAAAGGAGTTCAATACAAACATATTATAAAAGCAATAAAAATATAAAGATGCACATATTATATAAAAAGTGCATCGTACCTTATAAGGAAAGTATTGATCTTTCTCCCTCCCAAGTCCTAAGCAGTCACTACGGTTTCGACCCCACATGTATAAATGACCTTGATCTAAAAATTGAAGCAAAACATATTAGAAAAATGATATAAAGCATTAAATATTTTAATAGTTGTTAGTACAGAACAAAATCTATGGTTTAGCTAAAATTTTTTAAATTTATTTTTCCAAAATTACATAGTTGTCCCCTCCCCAATTCTCTTGCTCTTGAATGCCATTTTCTTAAATATATAACTTTCAAGCTGGACTCTAAAAGAAATTATGAGCTACATCAAAAGAAACATATGATATTTAAAAGTAGCAAACAACAAGCTTATTTTGGCTTATTCTGCAAATTAATTTCATATATCTTTAATCATTAATACAAATATACCTTATTCAAGAGGAAATAAATTTTCATCTGAAATTTTTTCCAACATGATATCAAAGGTAAAAATTTAGAATAAAGAAATGTACATGATATATTTATAGCTTTTAATGCTTTCTTCAACAAAGAATTTGAAGGAAAATGGAAACTTTTCCTCAGCAAAATACAAAAAAATATACTTAAAATAAATTAAAGGTAAACACATGTAAAAACCCAGCTTACATTCACATAAGACAAACACTTTGTAAAAATTAACAAATTTTAAAAAACATTTTTTAATTATTAAAGTGAGTTACATTTTCAAAAAATGTGTATTGTTACAGTTTTTGTAGTTAGTTTGCTATTTTTAATAGAATTTTAATCAAAATTATTTCATTTCCCCATGCAATGCAGTAAAGTGATAAGTTTTAAGAGAAAACTATGCCAAAAAAGTAAAAATACAGCAACACGCACGTTAAACATTTAATAAATAGATATCTCCTACACTCTTTTGCTATCCAGAAAAACTGAGAAAATATCAGAATGTTCTCGTGCATGATTAGAAAGCTTATAAAAGATGGATCAAAACATCTCAAATTCAGTTGTTTATTAGTTGTTCACTTAGTTCTTGTTGTTGATTGTAGCGAATTTACGGTGAGATCAGATTAGCTTTCTCTGCTTTGAATTGAGTTCTATTCAAACATTTTAGTACTTCAAAATATAACAACTGTGAGATATTCAGGTCTTGCACGATTATCTCTGAGGAAATTTCAGCATTTTGTTCTTATTTCTTGGGATAAGAATAAATTTTATTAGCTTTTATTGACTTGTGCATTCAATTTATTACGAACCTGTATGCATGCCAACGATATTATCTTTAGAGCATTTATAAATAATACAACAAAAGCAATAAATAATGCTAAATGCTAAAATAACAATTTCGAAATATTTTGGTTATTTTAATAATAATTAATTATTTATTGCTATTTTTAATTTTCAAACAGAATTATGAATAAATAAATATACAGTATGCTCAAAACACAAAATTTATCAATATCGGAATACAGTAATATATGATTTCAGAATGTGCAGATTGGATCTATTTAACTAATTAATGATTCAAAACACTAATTAAAGATTTAAAACTATCTCTACAATTAAAGTACATCATAAGTATTTTCAAAAGAAAAATGAATTATTTATGAGATTTGTACACAAAAGTAACTTTTTTTAATGCCTAGACCAGGGTTTCTCAACCTTCTTTTACTCACATACCCCTTGATCTATCATCACTACTTCATGTACCCTAATCCCATCCCTATTATGTATAATTAACTAACTCACACATCTGCAGAAACAGTAATAATAACTATAATACTATTATGGAGAGACCATTAATAGAGAGACGAAGTTTTATCAGTTATGCAAAAATGAATCACTTTGGTTACACATTTAATTAAATTAAATATATACATATATATATTTAAGCATATTTAAAGGGAATCTTGAAATTGTTTGGCAGCACTTCATAATTTAAAATCCGGATTGGAAGATTAAAAATGCAGTCTCAAGTATGAACTTGTGCTGGAAAATCTGTCTGGGGGAAAAAAAAAATTAAGTGTAGTATGAGAAAGCAGCCATCTTCACTAATACGGTGCTTTTGAATCATAACAGAATAGTGATTGCCTTGTTGACTCGTCAACAAGAGTTCAGGATATTCTTCTTTTAAGTCGATACAGAATGAGATGAGGGATTTCTTCTCAAATTCTACCTTAAGTACCTTATTACCTTTCAGTTCAATCAAGTTAACTTTTTCTCAGACTGATAAATATTCACACTGGAAATACTTTTTATTGCAAACAAATGCAATCCAGTGGTCATCTGTTCCATGTTTGGGAAAATATTTTTCAAAAGTTGCTATTCAGTTGCCATTATTGAAAGTTCAATCAATCCTGATGTTGTAATATCCCAGATTCTATGCAGGAATAAAATTTTATTACAGAAAACAATGCCAAATTAATTGCCAGGTTTGTGTAAGCATTCTTGAAATATGCTTAACATTGTATGTTGGCAGGTGGTCCTTTCCTTCTCCTCAGGTACTGGCTCTGCACATAAAATACACAGGGTGTCCCAAAACGACAGCATAAACTCTGCACAGCTAGATTCCTCGTTGGGAGTACATAAAAACTGCCCAAAGAAGCGTTCCTGTACGATCCATAGTTTATGAGAAAAATAGGAATAATAAAATATAACGTCACTGCCAATGCAAGAAAAAACACTTTATTGACAGCAATATATGCACAATTTAAAGCAGATGTTCAAACTGTGCGCCGTGCATGTTGAGGCAGGCTTGAGCACGCCGTGGAATGGCTGTCATCACATGTTGCAGCATCGCAGGGTCCACCGAAGTACAAGCAGCATGCAGACAAGCAACTAAGTACATTGGTGTAGTCCATTGTTGTTCACTAAGTCCATTGTGTTCTCGATACTACCAGTTCCTTGAGATGGCCCCATAGGAAAAAATCCAATGGTGTAAGATCTGGCGAACGTGGCGACCATAGAACTGGATCCCCACGACCAATCCAGCGGCCGGGGTATTCCATATCCAACTAATCACATACAGGAGCACAGAAATGCCCTGGAGCCCCATCATGCTGGAACCAAAGTCCCTATATTGCCGCTAATGGTATGTCATCAAGGAACTACAAGTTAAGACTTCCTTGAGAAACACCAAGTACGACTGTCCCGAGAGTCATTCAGGCAACAGATGTGGTCCAAGCAGGCGATCTCCGAGTATGCTGGCCCACACGTTAAGAGACCAACGTTCCTGATGTTTCTGCGGCTGGATTGCATGCAGACTGACCTGGGACCACACATGGCTATTGTGATGGTTGAATGCCTCATCACGAGTGAAACATGATTCATGGTCCACAGGATATGTGCAATGAAACCATTATCTGTGTTCTGTTGCTGCAACAGCCATTCACAGAAGGCCACGCGTTTCTGAAAGTCATCTGGTTACAGACCTTGCATGGTTGTGTATCAAAACGGGTGTAGCCTCTCAGACCATACAAGCCTGTGCACAGTACTTTTACTCTAAGTCATCTCACGGGCTAATGTGCGCGTGCTTACCTCGGGCATCTCTTCTACCCGCTGCAGTATTGCATCCGCCTGTGCTACCGTTAGGCAGCTCCACGGTCTTCCAGTATCGTGAAGATTGGCTGTTGGCAAGACGCTTCTCGTATTTCATAGTCTGTCATCCAGCCTACGGATGACGTTGGCATCGGGAGGACGGCGGGATGGATATCGACCGGCATACTGCCTAGCAGTTCGTAAGGCATTTCCATTACATCAGCCATACTTTAAGTACATGTTGCAGTAGTCCCAAACGGAATACATGGCCACCATACGAAGACTACTGGTAGCTGCAAGATGCAGTCTTTTAAATACCAATTCAACAACGGCTTAATGTCATTCCACGGTGCAAGCACACATGATGCGAAATGCATGCCGAACGTTTTAAACATTATTGTCTGGAAAGATATGTCAATACTATTGTTGATATGTCCAATAAGGTATTTTTTCTTGCACCGGCAGTGACGTCATACTTTGTTTTTCATATTTTTCTCATAAACTATGGATACAGGAACGCTCCTTTGGGCAGTTTTTATGTACTCCCAACAAGGATTCTAGCTGTGCAGTGTTTATGCAGTTGTTTTGGGTATACCTAAAGTGAATTTAAAATATTCATATCTTTCTAAATTAAAACTATTTTGAATTCAATTTAATCATTTTGATTTTTCATAATGAAATATTTGGATTGGAAAATTCCAGTTGCCACAACCACAACAGTTTATCTCTCCTCTTAAGTTCAATCAATCCATCAATGACCACCATTACGTCTGTTCTTTTTTTTTTTTGGGGGGGGGGGGGCATACCCCGAGACCATTTCATATACCCCTGGAGGTACACATACTACATGTTGAGAGAAGCTGGCCTAGGCTATCAGCCTTCCCCCCCCCATTTTTCAAATAAAAACAAGAAAGACAACCATAAAAATGAAAGGTATAGTACAATATCTACAATCTTGATGTTTTCTTCTAGCACCGATTTAATATTCACATTTCTGTAACTTCATAATGTACATTAACTTCCCCCCAGACCCATATGCAACACCAGAACTATAAATGTTTTGGTTTATTTACTACTTTAAACTAGCATAAAAATTAATGTGCTGTTGGCACATCTTCATGACAAGATCAGCAAAACATTGTTATTTTGTCATAGGTTAATAATTATATATCTACAAACAGCTACCATCAGGTTCAGTACCAAGCACTGCAGCACCAGCATTACGGCACTGATTTTTGGAGAGCTCTAAGCAAACAGTTCTGAACAATAATGTCCTGGTGAAGAGATGGGTAAAATAATGCATTATGTTGATAAAAAGCTGGAAAAAGCAATTTATAAGCATCCTCACAAAGGAAATCCAACTTTCTAAAAATACGGCTTTGATAATTACAGGGCAGTAGACTTAAAACACTATGATTAAGGCCTGAGATATAACAGAAATTAAACTTATATTTATAACCATTAAAATTCAACAAAAGTAATGGCTGTTCATTATGGACCATCTGATAAAGTTCTAATAAATCAAGAAAACAGTTTAAAAGAATTTCATCAGTCCATTTAGAGATCAAACCTTTT